TGATTTTAATTTAGTTTTCACTGAAATACACCATGTACCCGACTAGAAATGCATTTCGTGTTTTTAGATCGAGAGGCACCAACCCTACCAGGTATTCAGACCCAGAGATGTGCTCTCAGCACTGCCCCTCAGGCCAGCCTTACTTTGGTGACCTCCAGCCACTGACAGTCGGTGCATGGATCATTAGTTCCCGAGCACTGAAGCCATCTTCATGTCCAGAAGAGCTGACCACTACAAATCCAATCTTGTGGGGCATTCTGCACACATGGGCTGTTCAGAAGATCAGGGAAGAGTTCTGAGAAGGGATTCAACTAGGTTAGATGAGGTGTTAGCTCACGTCATACAAGGTAAGCCACAGAGTACTCAGACTGGCCCATCACTCCAAAAAGGTTAGTTTGTCTACAAAACATTTTTAAATGGATGTTCTAATTCTACTTAACACACCATTTAAGCTATCTTGATTTTCCTGAGAGTCTGACCTGTGCTGCGGCTGAGTTACATCCTCACTAATGATCAGAGTCTGCCTTTGTTGTGTGTGAAAGTTACCTCACTGGGGTTTCTGCAGATGTGATCAAATTAAAATGATACCCTATTGGGGAATTCATGTGGCTGGTGCACTTGGAGAAGAGGAAAAGGATCTGGGGTGAGTACCACTAAGGGACAATGCCCACCTAGCATACAGAAGGCTAGGTGTGGACTTCATCTCCAGAACCCATCCCCCACAAAACAATCCCTAAAAAACACACACAAGAAACACACGCAAGAAGTGGAGGCTCAGACACACTAGAGTGGTGGGGGTGCCACATACTGAAAGACTGGAGCCACTTAGTTAATGCTAAGGTTGGTACTGGAAACCATCAGGAGCGAGAAAAGGCTTCAGACTTCAGAGATGCTTGTCCCTGCTGCCACCTCAATGCCAGCTCTGAAATTCCTAAGCCTCCCTGCTTGTCACACTCTCATGGTAAAACCAAAGCTTTTGGTAGGGTACAAAGTCTTTTGGTATTATCAAGGAAACAAACAACTAGCAATGATTAGGGAGGACACCTAATCAGTGTAAACATGCAGCCCTACGGAATGCAGGGCGCACAGATGCACTGGTGCAGATGTGAGCACAGTTGAGTTGGGAACCTGACTCGGGACATTTAAGTGTTATCTGTGAACAAGATGGACCAGGACCATCTGTTGGCTCCCAGACCCTCAGAGGATGTGGAAAACTACCCAGCGACGTCTCGTAGGACACATTGCTGGGCCACCTGCCCTCGCCCTCCTGATGGGCACAACCAGTTGTCAGTTTCCCCCTGAACCTAGACAATCAAGCTAGGCCAGAAGCAGAGGCAGTTCTCCCAGTCCTAGTGAAGAAGGAGTGTCACTGCTTATACTAACAGAAAGTCTGCTGGAAGCCAAGTCGAGAGGAGACATGGTCAAACTTGAGGGAGCTCGAAGAGGAAAAACTGGCTGAATGATTCTTTCAGTATGATTTTTTGGTGAACTGACCTGTGCCCACCACCGTCACTTGGAGGACACATGCTGTCATGTCTGCTTTGCTGACCTGTGCCCTACCTCACCACCGTCACTTGGAGGGTGCGTGCTGACCTGTGCCCTACCTCACCACCGTCACTTGGAGGGTGCGTGCTGACCTGTGCCCTAACTCACCACTGTCACTTGGAGGACACATGCTGTCATGTCTGCTTTGCTGCTTGGCACGCATGCTCTCCATGCTGGAACACAGCACAGAGTCAGCGATGAGCTGGTGTCTCTGCACTCCCCTCCAGCCCTGGTTGGGACCTGTTACACTTTCCTAGGCTCGGACAGTCCGAGAATTCCACATCCATGCACAGTGAGGGTTCATGGATGGGAACACACATATGTGTTGCCCAGAGGGAACAGGTGACACTCAATCCCAGGATTACACTGAGGCCACAGCAGAGGAGCTCTCTCCCCAGAGAGATTCCTAACACAAGAGTCCAAGCCAGGCAATGGTGGCGCACACCTTTAATCCCAGCACTCGGGAGGCAGAGGCAGGCGGATCTCTGTGAGTTCGAGACCCGTCTGGTCTACAGAGCTAGTTCCAGGACAGGCTCCAAAGCCACAGAGAAACCCTGTCTCGAAAAGCCAAAAAAAAAAAAAAAAAAAAAAAAAGAGTCCAGGGCTACTGAGGCCACTAGGAGAGGAGGCCCTGCCCAAGTGAAGCTAACCTTGGGCTGGAGCAGCAACGTCAGAAAGCAACACACGGGCATGGCTACTTCTCAGTTATCAACCCAATCAAATACTTGCTAAGTAGACAACTGTTGGTGAAATAAATCATCATCAGAAAAAACAACAATCCTCCTAATACAGGAAAAAGAAGAGCATTGGAGGTTTCTTGGAATAAGATGCATCACTGAAATACTCTGTAGGCAGTGCTATCCAAAGTACCCCGCAGGAGGCCTGGCTCACGTGAATATGCCTGATGTATAATTCAGAGCTTTTGCTTACTTTCATGGGATTTGAAAAGGACCATTTCAAGGATCAGTGCCAGTCTGATGCTTGCTGGTGTGTTTTGTTTTTGGAATGTATGCACTAAACTACTAAAGCCAGCACAGCAAGTCACTGTTAAAGGTGCTCCACTGAGTTCCCTGTGTCTGTCGCAGCAGAGCGGAGGAAACTGACCCAGAACACAATCAAGAGTGGTTCAGGGGGCTGGAGAGATGGCTCAGAGGTTAAGAGCATTGCCTGCTCTTCCTAAGGTCCTGAGTTCAATTCCCGGCAACCACATGGTGGCTCACAACCATCTGTGGTGGGATCTGGTGCCCTCTTCTGGCCTGCAGGCATGCACACAGACAGAATATTGTATACATAATAAATAAATATTTTTTAAAAAAAAGAGTGGTTCATACGCACAGCTGGGTGACTTAACATGCGTCTCCTCTGACTGGGAGACCACACTCCTATAACATGCGTCTCCTCTGACTGGGAGACCACACTCCTATAACATGCGTCTCCTCTGACTGGGAGACCACACTCCTATAACATGCGTCTGCTCTGACTGGGAGACCACACTCCTATAACATGCGTCTCCTCTGACTGGGAGACCACACTCCTAGGTCACTCAGGTCCCCGAGCCTGGAGCTCCTCTCAGGCACTACGCTCCCCTCCAACACCCACGGAAGCATGGAAAGTCTTACTGCGTTCAGTCACTCCCACTGCCTTGGCTCTTCTGTTCCACACATGTTCCTACCAGACAACATTCCTTACACCCAACTTCAGTCACCTCTATTCAGGTCTTAATTCCAAAGCCCTCTGTGGCCTCCATCTAGGAATTAAAATGCTGCTTCTGTTCTGATACCTCGTTTCCCCCATTCTTACATCTTATCTTGAAATTTGTTATTTTTGAGACAGAGTCTCAATATTTAGCTTTGACTAGTCTAGAACTCAGTATGTAGACTGCAATGGCCTCAAACTCACAGAGATCCTCTTGCCTTGGCACACAAAGTACTGGGATTAAAGGCATGTGCCACTATGCCTCAGCGTGTTGTGAATTTTAGAAGGATCCAAACACTTAGAGGTATATCCCTGGCTCTGACTTCTTCAATTATTTGACCATCTTCAAGGGCCTGGCCTATACCGGTTGTAGTTGCACACACTTTTAATCCCGGCACTTGGAAGGAGGATCTCTGAGTTTGAGGTCAGCATGGTCTATGTAGGAGTAACAGGGCTACATAGTGAGACAGTTTAAGACAGACAGAGAGAGATAGATAGATAGATAGAGAGAGAGAGAGAGAGCGAGCGAGCAGGCAGGCCAGATTTCTACCTTGACAACAGTTTTACTCAGTTGGGTCTGCATCTCTGGTCTTAACTAGCACCTTCTGGGGTGCATTGAGACTTACAAACAGAACGTTAAAGGCAGATACAAGTGTGTCCCCAATAAAACCAGAACAAATAACTGGTACTGAAGAGGGCTGTGGGGCAGTGTGCGAAACACCGGGAACTCAATACAAAACAATCCACTTTCAGACCTGACACTGCAGGAGACTTCCACTCCCTACTCCTCCCCTTTGCCCCAATCATCAGGAGCCTCGGCACATGCTCGTGGCTCCACAAAACACACCGCGGAAACTTCTGGTCACCAGACATAGGTGGTGTCCCAGCTGTCCCTAGGGCAGCCATAGCCAACAGTGTCAGGTGACATTTACCCTAACATTGCTTAAAAACCGTAACTAGGCACAAACTCTTATATTTTTGGTTGCGACCCTTCCCTTTAAAGCCATCTCTCTAGCCCTAAGTCCAAAAACAATGTAGCAACTTCAAACATTTTGTTACAAAGAAATAAAAAATGTTTCTAGTTTTCTTTTCAATAAACGCAACTGTTACAATATTAAGTGTTGATTGGGGACCGATTAATCTTAAGGATTGAAAGTGTTTTTAGAGAATCTTTAAGCTTAAAAAACATCTCAAACCTAACCCAACTAGGAAACAAACCCCGCAAACAACACGCATCAAAGTGTCTGGCTTACCAGGGGCCAGAGCTACAGTCTTCAGCCTCTTGGTAACTGGTTCTGCTCAGTAACGCATCCAGAAGAGGACAAGGCGGGGCTGGAACCGGATTCCCGACACGAAGGCCGAGGTGCGCTACCTAGAGGCCTAGAGCAGGCAGCGGCCACGTCCCTCCACGGCCAGATGTCTTCTGCCTCGGTTTCGCTGAGGACCGAGGCCGCGCGGGGTCACAGGGCGCCGCGGAGACGAGCAGGAGGGACGCTGCCGCGATGCCGGCCTCCGCTCGTTTCGGAGAGGCCTCGCCTCGGTCCGGCCGCCCCCACCCCGGGCCACTGAGGCGAGGGCAGCGGAGGAGCAGCCCGGGCCTCCTCTGCCCAGCGCCCGGGCCGCAGCCACGCTCCCATGGCAACCAGGCCGGCCCGCGCTGTACGCCTGCGCGGGCGTCCGTAGGCGCCTGCGCGCGCAGCCACGCCTCGCGGGTTCCGGCTGGGGAAAGGTCCTGCAGACGGACGTTTCGGGTCGCGCCTGCCAAGGAGTAGAGTAAAGCGTTCCGGGCGGCGCCTACGCGCCACAGTTCCGGGAGTGGCGAGGAGTGAGAGTCAGTCGTCGTCGTCCGGTGCGTGCAGTGTCTGCTGCCGGAGTCCTGCCATGTGCGCGGTGCTCCGCCAACCCAAGAGCGTCAAGTTGCGAGCCCTACACAGCGAGTGCAAATTCGGCGTGGCGGCTCGGAGCTGCCAGGAGCTGCTGCACAAGGGTTGCGTCCGTTTCCAGGTGGGTCGGGGTGGCGGGGCGGGGACCCGGCTACTACGTGCGCACGGTTTCCGTCCCCTTAGATGGACTTGGAGGGGCGCTGGGCTCCTGCAGACAGGTGGCACCCTGAGCGGACTGCCTGTGGGCAGGACGAGCCTCCTCTTCCTGTTCTCCAGCTCCCGGTGTCCGGCTCCCGGCTGTGCTTGTATGAAGATGGCACGGAGGTGACTGATGACTATTTCCCGGGGCTCCCCAATGACGCCGAACTCCTGCTGCTCACTGCTGGACAGACCTGGCAGGGCTGTAAGTAGTAAAACTTCGGAGATTGGCGGGACCCACGCCGTTTAAGCCCAGGTCCAGGAGCCCAGGAACGAGCCTAGTAGATCAGGTCAGGGGCACTGAATGCCAAGAGCTTTTGCTGAAGAACTCTATTTCCAGTGTATTTATTTATTTATTTATTTATTTATTTCGTAACTGGAAAAGCAAGGGGGGAGGATTGGAGGAGCCTGGGGAAGGTTTTGCTGTGCTGGGCTGTGCTGGGCAGGGCAGGCGTTGCTCAGGGCCATTCTCCGACGTATGAGTGTTGAAATGCTCTCAGGGATCGTAGTTTTTATTAAAGCTCTTCTAGGTAGGTGTGTGATGACAGCTCAGTGTGGCCTTAATCCGAATTTCCCCGGTGGCTAATGGGATTGGATATCATTCCGTGTTCTTATTTGCCACCTGCAGGCACTTCTTGGTGAAGCAGTCTTCATGTCTTTTGTGTTTTTTAATCGGATTTTTTAAGCTGTTGAAATATTTACCCCACCCTCAGCAAATCCTGGTTATGCCTTCCATGTCAGATAATGTGGTTTTCTAATATCCTCTGTTGGGTTCCGTTTCATTCTCTTGTTTTGGAACCGAGCTCCAACCAGCTGAGCTAACCGACCTTGCTCTTTTCATGCTCTGTAATAGAGCAAACGGTTCAGATCTGGGAGGGAAATGGAGGCCAAGGTTACATGTAGCTGAGGCTGGCCTTAAATTCACTCTGTAGCTAAGGCTGGCCTAAAGCTTTTGTTTCTCCTGCCTCCATCTACCAACTGCTGGCATTCCAGGCATGTGTCCCATACCCAGCTTCAAATTTTTTAACTTTGATGACATCCAGATTGTCATTTTCTTCGCTGTGCATTTTCTTTTCTTTCCTTTATTAATATTACTAATTTACTTATTTTTGATGTTTCTTCATGTTCACTGTGCATTTTCACTGTCCAGGAATCTCTTGGTGGGTCCTGTCTTCTTGAGGTTTCCCCCTGCATTTTCTACATCTGTTGCTGTGGCCACAAGACCTTATTTCTTCAGCTTGTTGACACTGGATCTCACTGAGTTTTGAGTATGAAGCAGAGTTGGAGCCTCACTTGGCTGTGGTCTGTGCTTTTTAGTTGTCACTGGATTCTGTTTGCTCCTGTTTAGCTAAGATCCTCAGGAGAATACACTTGGCATTCAGCATCTGCTAGGAAAGCCCAATGTAGCTTGCTACTTGTGGAAAGGGTCCCTGGGAAAGTCAGGAGAGGGACTGTGAGGCCTGGAAGTTGGGTCCTAAGGGAATGAGCAAAGGAGGTGACCTAGTGTGGAGGAAGAGAAAGCAGAAGAAGAGCAAGTGCACTATTCTAGGGCACTGCAATCCCATCACCTGGCAGGACGTGGCCAGAGGAATGGAATTGGCAGCGTCACCCTGTGGAGGATTCGAGTGTCAAGTGCCAAGGCAAGGGTTGGTGACACCAGAGTCTTGAGTCTTCACTTCTGGCTGTCTCTGGGCTTAGTGGACAGGAGCCTCCTCTTGGGACCAGAACAACATGAATGTGTTTCTGTTTTGTCTTGTGGTGGCAGCAGATGTGAGTGACATCACCCGCTTCCTCAGTGTGTTTAATGAGCAACATGCTGGGGTCGTCCGGGCTGCGCAGCAACTGCTGTCACATGAGCGGGACCCACTGAGGCAGAAGCTGCTGGCTGACCTTCTGCATCATGTCAACCAGAACATCACTGCTGAGACCCGGGAGCAGGACCCGTCCTGGTTTGAAGGTACGTAGACTGGGGTGACCGTGTGGCCAGGACGTCTGAGACAGGCAGGGAAGGGCCTCTTTGGAGCAGAGGCTCGGGAGGATCTTTGTCCACTTCAGATCCTGATGCTTCCCAACCAAGGGTGACTGGCCTCTGGAGTGAGTGATAACAAAAGGTGTCCATGAGAAGGCATCTGGCCAGGACTCCTGGGTGGGGGCAGTGTCCTGGGCAGCCTTGAAATAGCTTTCTTTCTTTTTTTCTTTTTCTTTTTCTCCCTTCCTTCCTTCCTTCCTTCCTTCCTTTTAAATCATTTTTCCAAAAGCCATGGCAAAATGCATGGAATGTGGAGTTTATCATCTTACCATTTGAGAGAGAGAGAGAGAGAGAGAGAGAGAAAGAGAGAGAGAGAGAGAGAGAGAGCGCATGTGTGCATGTCTGTGTATCAGAAGAGAGAGAGAGAGAGAGAGAGAGAGAGAGGGGGGGGGGCGCATGTGTGCGTGTCTGTGTATCAGAAGACCACCGTGGGTGTCATCCTCAGGAATACTATTCACCTCCCTTGAGATAGGGTCTCATTGGCTAGAGCTAGGCTGGGCTGACTGGCCAGCACACTTCAGAAATCTCTCCTATATGATTCATATCCTCCCTAGGTCACTTAAGGTACCTGGTTCCATGCAAATGCTGGGAAAGTAGTTGTCAGCTGGTCCCTTTAAGGAATAATGACAAGAAAAACCAGTCTATAGGGTTCTGGGAGATGGATCAGTGGGCATTGCTTGCTGCTTGAGCTTGGGGACTTGAGTTCAGATCCCCAGCACCCATGTAAAATCCAGGTGTGGTGGCATATGCCAGGCAGAGTCAGGCAGATCCTTGGGGTTCACTGGTCAGCCAATATATCCCAAACAGTGAGCTCCATGTTTAGTGAGGGTGGAGAGTGACAGAGGAAGACACTCAGTGGTGACCTCTGCTCTTAACATGTGTGTGCATGTGAGAGTGCACCTGCACAGATGTACACACACATGTGCACATTCATGTACACCACAGGCACACATGCACAGACTTAAAATTCTAGAGAACAGGAAACAATCTACATGCTTATTCAGATATAAGTTTTTAAAATGATTTGTTTATTGGTTTTGGTTTGTTGAGACAGGGTTTTTCTGTGTATCCCTGACTGTCCTGGAACTCACTTGTAGACCAGGCTGGCCTCGAACGCAGAGTTCCATCTGCCTCTGCCTCCCGAGTGCTGGGATTAAAGGTGTGCACCTGCCCGGATATGAGATTTTTAAAGTGTTAATGTCTGTGGTTGGGTGAATCTACTGTAGGGCAGGCTGGGCTGCAGAGTTAGTGGCACTCCACATATCCAAGCCCCTTCACCCTGTCCTGCCGTCGGCACTGGCGTTTGCTGTCAGAGCCCATGCTCTGTGGGTCTGCAGCCCAAGCCCTCTCATGCCCATTTCCAGCTCTATGAACAGAACCCCTCCCCAGCTCCTCCTTCACATGGTACCTTGTGTGGGTGGAATCATACAGGGTTTGTCCCACAGCTCCTCTCGTCAGCATGCTGCCCTTTATGTTCGCCTGGGTGACCAGCGTCCTTCCCTTTTAATAGTGTCCAATCGTACGGATGGAGCACACTTTTGGCCCTCTCCTCTGCTGCTGACTACTTGGGTTGTTAAGTCCAGATTGAGGTGTCCTTGAGTAGTTGAAATTTCTTGAGGGTTTGAGGGCCAGCCAAGAAGAAACCTCTTAGCAGTGTTTGAGGTGCCTCAAAACCAGATCCCCCAACTAGAGAACACGCACCCTGCCGTTAGGCATCTCTGCGGCTGATGCAGTCCCTGATACACCTCCCTCTGGTCATTTCTTGTCTGCTTGGCTCCTGAGCCACTCAGGACACAAACCAAGAGGTCGTGGTCTGCCTGTAGATCCCAGAGTAATCTTTCTTGTAGGTTTGGAGTCTCGATTCAGGAATAAGTCTGGCTACCTGAGATATAGCTGTGAGAGCAGGATCCGGGGCTACCTGAGAGAGGTAAGGCCATGCTCAGATCACGCTGAGGGAGGATGGTGCAGTTGGTGGGGTTGCCACTCCACTGCTGATGCACGTCTGCAAGGTTGCCTGTGAGGCTTGCGTACCTCAGAGGAGCAAGAGCTTCCTGTCTCCTACATCTGAGCTCTTCTGTACTTTAGCCTCTGACCCCATCATCTAACAGGTATTAGAACCTTTCTGGGCCGTGTCCTTTGGATAGGGTCAGAGGCCTCAGCCTCAGCTCTTTGCCAAGGATGCTATTACGTAGAACAGCACCAGCTGGCGCCTTATGCAGCGGGCAGGTCTGTTCTGATGAGCTTCGTTCCGTTATGGAGAGGTTTTCTGCATCTCCTCCATTGCTCTTCACGATCGGGTGGTTGTTTCCCCCCAACACTTGTATTTATTTATTGTCTGGGTGCTTGGCAGTCCTCTGACCTTGGAAAAGTGGAACACAGGACCGAAGACACCTCTGCTTGGGGTGCTTTGTAGATAGGCTGTGAGCCGCTGACTATTGGGTCTCAGCTCTGGTCTTCTCTGGGAGGAGCGGCCAGCGGCTCCACTGCACCTCGCCTGAACTCCAGGAGGAGGCTGTCCTTGGTGTCCTGATACCCTGGCTTCCTTTCTTGAAGATACAAATGCCAGTGAGGTGCAGAGTGGAAGGAAGACCCTCTATGGTGCATGGGACCTGCCCATACCGAGAGCATGAGGTGCCCCTCATTTTGCCAGGTGAGCCTTCTGTGCCTCTCTGCACTGGGCTCCACGTGACTGCCTTCATTCAGATATGATGAGCAGTGGATGGGTGGTTTGGGGACAGCAACTTGTTTTGGGGACCTTCTTCTCCCTGCTCTCCTTGGGGTAACTTGGGTAACCGCCCAGCAGTTGGCTAGTGGCACAGACCTGGGGCTTCTCCATCTGTCTGTCTTTACAGCATCCTCTTCAGCACCCAGAACATGGATCATATGTCAGTGTCTGTCACCAAGATTCCAGTTCACTAACCAGAACTAACCCAGCATCTGTTTGGGTTCCTACCCCTGAGCTTCTTGGTTAAAAGTAGATCCTAAGGCTGCCTTCTTCCTCCGTGCACACCCTCCTCCGAAATCTTCTTATCTCGTGGTGTAGCTCGAGCTGGGTGTCTATGGGGAAAACCTGACAGAGCCCCCTGCTGGTTGAAGCCACCCTCCCTTCCTGACCAGGCCTGGAACCTGACCACCCTGACTGTTCTCTTGTCGCCATGGATACTGCCTGCTTGCCCAGGCCCCGCTGGGCTCAGAATCTCCATTGGGCGTGTTCTAGGACTTCCTTCTCAGGCTGCTGCAGCACTGCCTGTACTCACCTACCTGTTAGCTGCCCTCCACACCAGAGTGAGGTCCGCAAGGGCAGTGTGGCGGGCAGTGGGCACAGTGGCGCTCCATGCCTGACTGCTCTGCCCAGGTTTCTTCTAGGTGGCAGTAACAACCCCAGGCAGACGGGTGGGGGGGGCGCTGATAGAATTCACAGCTCAAGTTTGCAGGAACAAAGCCAGGCGTGGGTCCCCCTTCACCCTGCATGGCCAGGCAGCTGAAACAGCAGGCGTGGGTTCCCCTTGACCCTGCATGGCCAGGAAGCTGAAACAGCAGGCATAGGTTCCCTTTCACCCTGCGAGGTCAGGTAGCTGGAGCGGCAGGTGTGGGTCCCCCTTCACCCTGCATGGCCAGGAAGCTGAAACAGCAGGCGTGGGTCCCCCTTCACCCTGCATGGCCAGGCAGCTGGAAGGGCAGGCATGGGTTCCCCTTCACCCTGCACTTTCTTTGTTTTTAAACCTTTCCCTTTCCCCTCTCTCTCACACAGTGGGGTCAGCTTGGCCTTTGCTGCTCATTTGCATGTCAGGCTCCACATTGATTGGCAGGTAGAAAGTGCTGCAGGAGCCCTTACATGGCTGTGTGCTGTCCCCGTACTCCCCATATCTACCTCAACCCGCTCAGTGTGTCACAGCTGCCGATGTATAGTGTCCAGTGTTTTGTACTTCATGTGGCCTTCCTTGGTGATTGTCCCCACATGACCTAACATCGCCGCCGGTGCCCTGACTGATCCTAGTACTGACCCTCTGGCTGCATGGACGGGGCCCCCTTGTGGGTGCTGCTCGCCTTATCACAGAGGGAATGCTCCTCCTGCTGACTATGGGATCTTAAGTCACTTCCCCCCCGCACCCCCCCACCCCCCGCCCTCACCATGGGATCTTGCTCTGTAGAGCAGGCTGGCCTTTGGATCCTCCCACCTCAGCCTCCCAAGTGCTAGGATTACAGATGTGAACCTCTCTGCCTTGTTTTGTTCTCCCAGCCAGATGGGAGTGTTAGTTTTTTTTTTTTTTTTTTTTTTGGTTTTTCGAGACAGGGTTTCTCTGTGGCTTTGGAGCCTGTCCTGGAACTAGCTCTGTAGACCAGGCTGGTCTCGAACTCACAGAGATCCGCTTGCCTCTGCCTCCCGAGTGCTGGGATTAAAGGCGTGCGCCACCATCGCCTAGCTGATGGGAGCATTGTTGATTCCACTTCACGGCCCCCCGAATGGCCATGATGTGATAGCTGAGCAGTGGTCAGACACTCTGACTGTAGAACTAGGCGTAGGCTGGCTCCTGACAGCCAATGCGTGGTGTAGGTTGGTGACTGAAGGCAGGCTTTCGGGCACGGGCAGGCCACAGGCAGGCCACGGGCTCAGCGATGCCTCTGGCTCACTCTCACAGGTGAGTGCTCACACCTCTGCGGTGGATGCAGCGGCTCGGGAAGAATTCGAGCGGGTCCTCAGCTCCATGTGCCAGAAGCTCAAATCCCAGAAGTACAATGGCAGCTACTTTGACCGAGGTGCAGAGGCCAGTGAGCGGCTTTGTACTCCGGAAGGCTGGTTCTCCTGCCAGGTGAGCTCTGTGCCCTTCATTCTGGGGTCACTGCCTCCTGGGGGTGAGAGGTGGGTAGGACATTCAGCAGCTGGCCTAAGAGTAGGTGCTGGTAGCCCTCAAGTTCAAAGTGCGGGAGGAGGCAAGGATGGTGGCGTGCAATTGTTGGGGTGTACAATTGTTAGTATATGGCACCGTAGTCGTGCAGGAACATGTTGGGAATAACAGGTCTGCTCCTGTGTGGATCTGTAGAGGCACCTAGTGAAGGATGATTATCTAGTATCAGGGACAGAAATGCCTTCATCTTTTGAAAACTCAGAATATTAAGATCAGGGGCAATGGAATGTTAGGGGCGGTAGAATTCCAAAGACCGCATTTTTAAAAATGAGGCTTAGTTTTTTGAATATGAGTGTTTTGCCTGTGTATATGTCTGTGCCCATGTGTGCTTCGTGCCTGTGGAGACCAGAAGAGGTTGTCAAATCCCCTGGAACTGAGGTTCCAGATGGGTGTGAGCCACATATGGGTGCTGGGAATCAAACCTTGGTCCTCTAGAAGAACAGGCAGGAACCTCTGAACCGTCTCTCCACCCCACAAAGAGAGAATTTTCTTTTTCTTTTTTTTTTTTTTTTTTTTGGTTTTTCGAGACAGGGTTTCTCTGTGGTTTTGGAGCCTGTCCTGGAACTAGCTCTTGTAGACCAGGCTGGTCTCGAACTCACAAAGATCCGCCTGCCTCTGCCTCCCGAGTGCTGGGATTAAAGGCGTGCGCCACCACCGCCCGGCAAGAGAGAATTTTCAATCTCCAAAGAACAGCAAACACTTTTGTTTTTTAAAATGAGATCTTAATATGTAGTTGAGGCTAGACTTAAGGTCACTATGTAGCTGAGGCTGACTTAATATTTATTTCCTTTTATGTATATGTGTGTAGTGTTTGTGTGGGAGTGTGCACATGCCACGGCATGGGTGTGGTCAGAGGACAGACCACACCTGGCTTTTACGTGACTTCAGGATCCAAACGTGGTTCTCAGGCTTGCGTGGAAAGTGCTCTTCCTGCTGAGCCATCCCCCTGGCCTTCACCTCTGCCTCTTAGTGCTGGGGATCACTGCCTGGTTCAAATGTTGGTTCGTGGATTGAACGCCTTGTGGGGCCTGCGCCTTCGCAAGCTTGTTGGCTTGGAGGAGGACAGTAATGTACCTCCCTCTGCCTTTCCAACCCCTGCCTTGGTCCCTGCAGGGCCCCTTTGACCTAGAGAGCTGTCTTTCCAAACACTCCATCAACCCCTATGGCAACAGGGAGAGCCGGATCCTCTTCAGCACCTGGAACCTGGATCATATGTGAGTGTCTGTCACCGAGATTCCAGTTCACTAACCAGAACTAACCCAGCATCTGCTCAGGCAGTTCAAATCTGGTCCATTACACCTGTGTGCTTCAGGCCCAGGGACAGACCCCAAGCGCTTATGGAAGGAGCATCTGGAGCGATGCTCCTGACCTTCCAGCTGTCAGTGCCCAGTGCTAAACTGTCCCGCCCCCTCCCACCCCCTTCTGTGGGTGGGTCTGGTGGCCTGGCTCCTCATGGCCCAGTGGTGGATTCTAAGAGAGTGGGTGCTCTGTGTTTGAACCAGGAGTCTGCTTTTGGGCTGTGTTGTGGGAGGTCAGGGCCAGTAGGATGGTATCGCAGCTGGGCAAGCTGCAGTCACTTCTAACCAGGGCAGGGCAGGACATATTCTTACAGCTCTTGACTGTAACTACCCTTGACCTTGCTTTGTGAAGGCAAAGTGCTCCCAGTATCCACAAATGGCTACCTGACTCTTGGAGTCAAAACTATGAAACATATATAAAGAGTGAGTTTTATTTGAGGGCCCCTTTATCCCTCAGTACTCAGTGCCCCTGCCCTGTTGCCACAAAAAACCACTCTCCTGAAACATGCCCCGTTAATGCCCGTTGTACACCTTTGCCAGCAAGTGTGGACTTCCATGCCTGTGCTGCTCGCTGGCTCCACGGTGCTCTGTCCACACAACTCAGTGCACAGCAGACTCCTTCGCTGTTTGCAGACTAGCCCACATTAGTTCCCTCCTGGGCATTTAGGCCGTTACCTAACCCTGGAATGAAACTGTCTCCCAGTTCCATCCCTGTCCGGCTGATCTGTGGACCGGCTGCATCCACAGCTGGCGAGCAATGCAGATTTGGACCCCACCCAGCATCAAGAAGGCCTCCGGGGGTCTGGTGTGGACTCTCCATGAGAAAGAGTGCCCTGGCTCTGACCTCCAGACTCCTTGGGAAATCGATACTGGTGTTCCCCTTCCGAGTATCTCCAGCCTTCTCTGAATGTTCCAGCTCACATGCTTGCGAGTTGCTCCATGTCCTCGTCACCACTCGGTGTCACTGTGCCTCTTTGCATTTCCCTGACTGAGGAGAGCACCCACTCTGCGGTTTCTGTTTCCTGGCTCCCGGGAAGGCTAAGGCCTCTTTGCCATTCATGGCTTTCTTTCATGTTGCTTCCTTTTGCTCATTGTTTACTTTTTGTCCGGGGCACTGATTCTCTCCTGGCTGTCTGTGAGAGACATTGTTGCTATAATTTTGCCACATTCTGATGTCTTTTATAACAACCGGATGGGTGGCCTTGGCGAGCCCTTGGAGACTGGGTCCCTTTCTTAGGGTCTGAGGCACTGTTGTCAGGATCCTGACTGCAGGCCCATAGCCTGTACAGATCCTGCCATTCCTCCTGCAGGTGCAGGGGCCTCTGTTTGCTCCCCATTGCCTGCAGCTGCGTTTGCCCTATGCTTAACTGCAGGGTGTTTTGCTGTTATTTTTATTCCTACTTTGCACTCCTCTTAGGGTTTCTCCTTGTTTTCTAGTTTCTCTCTTTTGTCTTTTAACAAATGCTGAAGTCTACGTGTCTCCGGCTGCACCTGACCTTAGTGTTTTGGGGTCAGTGTGATTGTTCTGACATGTGAGCCTTTTGCAGGTCTCGGAGTCCCAGGGCTGTTCCCTCATTCTGCTCTGGTACCTGAAGGTTGAGACTCCTACGCCCACTCAGCTCTTTGCCTCACGCTCCCCTGACTCGGTTTCTGTTGCCATCAAAGAGGAGATCTCTAGTTGGCACATTAACTGCCTTTTGTCCTGCACGGGTCCCTCCAAGTGGCTGCTCAGCATGAATAAGTGTGACTGGCTTCGTCTCATTTTCTGTTTGCTGTACCTGTTGTCCTGGTCTCACTGTGTAGCCTGGACCTGCCTGTTACTCTTGCAGGGCTGTGTTTTGAGTGCTGTCCTGCCTGGCTGTAAGCCTGCACGGATGCTTGTTTTCATCTCAATACCTACTTAGGCCGTCCACTTCTCTGCTCACTGCCTCCTGCATCTCCCTGCTCCTGCTAAGGGCTGGCGAATGAGTGACCCTAGTGCTTCTTAAGGAGGGCCTGGAGTGAACTCCCTCCTAGAACATCTACCACTGAGCGAGTGCAGGGTGACTGTCTCACACTGGGTCTGGGATCACAGGCATCTAGGTCCCTTCTGCTCTCCCTGGTGGAGGCTGATCACATTGATCCCTGGTGCCTGCTCATGGGAGCTGCTGCCAGTCAGCATTCTCTTTTCAGTGAAGACTGGTTCGTCCCCTTACTGAAAGGGATACACATCCAGAGACAGCTCTTTCTCTTTGCTTCTGCTGTGACTTGTCCTCCGTTCTGATTCTCCTCTGCAGTCCCTTGGATTCCCATGGGCATTCTGGGAACTCCTTGCCACCTACCCACCCACTTTATGCTGACTCTGGTTGCCTGCTCTGGCTCAGTGCTGTTGTTTTGGGGTAACTTCCTGCTGTGGAATCGGTTGCAAACACCCCCCCCCCCACACACACACACACCGCCCGTACATTGAAACTGTCACACAATGAGACTGCATCCAGAGATTGGGCCTTTGGGAAACAGTTCAGGTGAATTGGTGTCCTAGGAAGGAGAGTGATCAACAAGAACAGATAGTCTTGTTCGTAGGAGAGCGTGTTCATGGTGTCACTGCCATGTGAGGACAAGCCAGCAAGTTGGCCCTGATCAGACCAGACTGTGCAACGGCTTAGACTTCCAGCTCAGAGCTGTGGAGCGATAGATGAGGGGGAAGTGGCTTGCTTTCCACTCTGCTGTTCTTGGGACTGTGTTTGGATCTGAGTTTCTTTGGTGACCATTTTTCTGTTGCTGGCTTGTCAAAGGGTCTCTGCAGAGTAGTCTGCACCTTTTCCCTGGAGGCGTCTCAGTTTCAGTAGCTCTGAAGCAACACAACATTCTCTTTGCTTGCCACTTCCGCGTCACATTGGTCATACACACTTGGGTCACATGCCTGTGGGAGACACAGGATTGGGGAGGGTGGTTCTGTGGGCACCTGTGTAAACGGGAGTCACTCTGGTGTAGTGAGGAGGAGAGGCTGGCTATGTTCCTGGCACCCGGCCGCCCGCATGGCTAGCTTTATACCTGAAATAATTACACGGAAACTGTATTCTTTTAAGCATCGCCTGGCCCATTAGTTTTAACCTCTTATTGGCTAGCTCTTACATATTGATCTAACCCATTTCTAATACCCCTGTAACACCACGAGGCGTCTTACCAGGGAAGATCTTAACCTGCGTCTGTGTCCAGTGGGAGAATCATGGCGACTGCCTGACTCGGCTTCTTTCTCCCAGCATTCTGTTCTGTTTACTCTATCTAAGCTGCTGTCCTATCAAAAGGGCCAAGGCAGTTTCTTTATTTAACCAATGAAATTAACATGAAACAGAAGACTTTCCCCCATCACTCTGTGCCAAGAAGCACTCCCACGTGGGGCTCGGCTTTGTTGAATGACCATGTGAGCCGCCTGGCCTTGCATTCTTTCTAGTATGTTAAGCAGTACCCACAATTCAAGTTTGCAAAGTAAGACAATGGCATTGCTAGCACCAAACTCTGCTACACTGACCATGCCTGCCCACGGCCATGTCAGTGTTGGGCCGGTGCCACCAGTCTGTGAAGCACAGTGCTGGGCTTCTCTGGTGATTTATCCACAAGCCCCATCCATTCCACTGCCTCTGCCCTTCTGGGATATTCTCAGCTTAGGTTCCTTAAGAATCTTCAAGATCCTCCCGCCTGTTACACCTGCTAGCAGGTGTATTAGGGTTTCTGCTGCTGCGATAAAGCACCAGCCAAAAGTAGCATGGGGAGGCAAGGATTTATTTCATCTGAAACTATCATGAAGGGGTCAGGACAGTCCCTCAAGGCAGGAACGGATGCGGAGCCCATGGAGGGCTGTTGTTTACTGACTTCTTCAGCCTGCTTTCTTATACAGTCCAGGACCACTGGCCTAGGGGTGGCACTGCCCACTGTGAGCTGGGCCCTCCCACACCAATCATTAACCAAGAAAATGCTTCGCAGCCTTTATTTTTTTTTATAATTTATTTATTTTTTTATTTGCCTTGGTGTCAGATCTTGGAGTTACAGACAGCTGTTAACTGCCATGTGGGTGGTAGGAATTGAACCTGGGTCCTCTGGAAGAGCAGTCAGCACTCTTAACCATAAAGCCATCTCTCCAGCCCCCCGGTTCGCAGCCTTTATACACACCAGTCTGATGCAGGCGTTGTCTCACTTGGGGGTCCCTCTTCCTAAATGACTCCAGCTTGTGTCAAGTTGACCAAAATCTAAGCAGCACAGCAGGGATATTTGCTATGGTAGACTGCAATGAGTGTCTGTGGCTGGTGGGAAGGGCACAGCACCCTGCAGTGCGTGGCACTGACAGCAGATGGACTGTCTTCCCTGACTTGGCAGAATAGAGAAGAAGCGCACCGTGGTGCCCATGCTGGTGGAAGCCGTCCAGGATGGGAGGGAGGTGAACTGGGAGTACTTCTACAGCCTGCTCTTCACGGCCAAGAACCTGAAGCTGGTGCACATTGCTTGCCACAAGAAGACCACGCACAAGCTGCAGTGTGACCGTAGTAAGATCTACCGGCCCCAGGCAGGATCCAAGAAGAAGCGGCCTGCTCGCAAGCGCCCGCCAGTGACACATGCCAGGCCCTCTAGGGTGATGCAGCGGTGATGGGGCTATTACCCTTACATTTTTTCACTCTAGAAGCCCCAGCCTGAGTTTTCTTTTTAAAAGCAAGTATATTTTATATGTTTTAAAATTTTTTACATTTGCCATACATAAAATAAAGATTTTTTCCAAAATAGACATGTCTAAAAAGTGTGCACACATCGAGAAAGGTGGAGTCAAGCGCACAATAACAGCAGCCGGTGACCGACCCATTGCCCCAGCTGAGTCGTCTTCACAGCCGTGCGCAGCAGTGCCTCAGGACAGCGTGGTGGAGCTTTCTGTGCCTGTCCTACAGTCACGGACGCACACTGTTCACAATGTGTGGTCTTCCATGTTTCTGAGGGCTGTCCTTTCCGTAGGGGCCGGGTGTTGGCGCTGGTGACCTCGTGTCAATTCTGTGTTCAACTGACAGTGTGTTCTCTTGGAGACGCCATCCAGAGATCTTCAGACTCGCTGAGCCGTCTGCTGAACACGACAGGGGAAGACCCACACTACATCTCGGCGTCATCCTCATCCTCATCCTCTTTGGCTCTGAAATGCATTTTTCTGAACTCTCGTCTGCTCATGGAAGGACAAGATGAAGAGGCTGGTGGCAGATCCTTAGAGGGAAGAAAACATGACTTCAGTCTTGAGTGGCACTGCCTGGGCACCAGATCCAAACCTGACCACGGTCTGCTCTGGGCCGTGCAAGTCTGTCCAGGCACTGGGCCCTTGGTAAGAAGGACGCTATCCTACAGACTAGGGGCAGCAACAGAAACATGGCTGCATGCTCACAAAACCACAGCTCTGACTTCCTAACCTGTTCACTGTCCAAGATACACCCAGGGCGCTGGAGCCAGGAGCCCTGCCTTCCAGCCTGTAAGCCCGAGAGTGGGGCGCTGCAGGGGAGAAGCCTCCCACTTACACAGACCTCATTTTCTTTTTCTCAGTTATGCTTACCTCTGAATTGTGGCCTTATGGATACACAGGAACCTGGGAGCCCAGGATGGCAACTGCAGTTTGCTGCCCGCACTGCAGGAGAGACAGGAGGGCAGCACTTACCTGCATAAGCTCAACATTCCCGAAGAAGCGACTCACAGGCATGGGCTGGTTGCTGTCATCATCTAGAAAGACGCTGCTCTCCATCTGGAGCACAGGTGTCTGCACCTCCTCTGTCCTGGGCACTGGCTCGGCCTGTCTGGCAGAACTGCCATCAGGTTCCTGGGCTGCAGCCACCCTGCCGGGTTCTGGTGTGGGTAGGCCACCTTCAGTCTTTGCTGAGGGTTCCTCACTCACAGGCTGGCAGCAGCCCTGGGGAGGCTCTCTACTCTCCGGCACAGGGACAGCCGTCTTAGCGCTGGCCTCGGCAAACTCACTGTCACAAGAGGCCTCGGGGGCCACTTTTGGCAAAGAAGAAATGTCACTTTTACGGTCAGCTTTCTGTAGTTCTGCCTTTACAAGGTGACCTTTGTCATACTTGAACTTTTTGGAAGTACGTCTGTCTGTAGTCTTATGTGATGAAGAAGCCTGCCAGGAAAGAAAAATGTAAGAGAAAACCAGACCTATCTGGCAAAGGCACTGGGTTCAGGGCCAGAGCCCCCTTTGTCCTGCTAAGGGGCAAACAGACTGGAGGCCGAGGGAGACTCCACAGCACTGCTCCAACAAGCTTTCCCAGGGCTGTTTTCTAAAGTACATGCTTGCCTGCTTTAAAGTCCTAGTAGGGACATGCAAGATGGCTTAGAGAATAAAGGTGCCTGCTGCCAAGATCACATCCTAGAACCCACATGACAGAAGGAGAATCTCCCATTGCAAGTTGTCCTCTGGCCTCCACATATGCACCATGACATGTGTGCCTCACCCCCAAATAAATAAAAATGTAATTCTAAAATATGTAAAAGAAACCAGTTTCCATCTCCTCACTCAGAGCAAGCTCCCGGCTCTTTTGCCTGGACACTGCACACCAGGAGACACTCAGGCTGGCTGCAGCAAAGTGTCAGCGTGCTGTCCTGAGTGGTGCTGTGTGGTGCTGTGCCAGACAAAGAAGCCGGCCCCAGCCCCAGCCCCAGCTGCGGCGCTGTGGGGGTCAATCCCTTGCCTGGGGCAGCTGCACTGTGGTGTGTCCCTCCTTGCTCCACTCTAGGGGTGAAGCAGTTGACAGACTCACATGGCTGCACAGGCCACCTTCAAAGCGGCACTATGCAGGAAGCTGTCTTACTGTCTGGATTGCTAGCACACTTCCATCCACGCACGAGCATAGTGCACAAAAGCAAACTCAGCTGTGTTGAACGTGCACCCCTCTGACTGCAGTGACAACATGTACAGGACCTCTGAAATGTCTCCCAGTCTACACACAGCAGCAATGGCTCATATTTCACACAACACATCTCGGGGTGACAACTGTAGAAGGGACGGAGCCAAGGCCTCGGTGTTCTTGGTAACGAAGCTCACCAGACATGCTGTCTTGACAGATGTGGAGCTGGCAATGCCCTCGGTAGAGGCTGAGCTGGCTGGAGTGTAGCTTCGGGCCTGAAGGCGCGCTGAGGATCGCACTCCACCTGTGAGCTGGACAAGAGCGACACTCAGAGAGCAGGCTATGGCACACCAGCTGAGCTGCGGCTTCTCAGCTCGGAGCCTGAGCGTTTCTGCCCACATTCCCTCACCTACAGGCAAAGACTACTTCGGCCTAACGTGGTCCAGCCCAACTGTCTAGGTTTAGACACAGGGTTCAGGGTCAGAGAGATGGCTCAGTGGGAAAGGGGGCTTGCCACCAGGACAGCGGACCTGAGTTCAATCCTAAGGACCCAAGTAGTGGAAGGAAAGAACGACTTCTGGAAGTTGTCTTCTGGCCTCCACCCGTGCTGTGGCACATGCCCCCCCCCCCACGCACACACACACAATTTAAAACAAAAGATGCAAGGCTGGCTGCCCACTTGTCCACTGTGGAGACTCAGGACCATCAGTCCCCCTGGCAAAAGTAAGATGAGACAGAAACACCAGTTCCTGCACTCATCTCTGTCCACCCCCTTCAGCAGTCCCCATCCTATGGACCAGAGCACATAGCTCCTGGTCCATATGTGTTTATTTTTTATTATTATTTTTTATCCTGGGGTGGCATCCAGGGCCTACTGTGTGCTTGGCGGAATCTGTACCTTGTGCAATAGCTCCAGCCAGGACCTTGCACCCCTGAACCTGCCGCTGTTTCCCAAGTGCTTGGCTTACAGATGTGAGCTGCTACATTTGGTTTATGTGGGAGGGGGATCAAGTCGGCTTCATGCACACTAGGTAAGCGGTCTCATTCCCAGCTGTGCCACATTCCCAGCTCCACCCCTTCAAAACAGTTTTACTCTGACAGGTCTTTTGAGTGCTGGAGTCACAACCTCCGCCGCCACACACAACTCTCTCACATCAGCCTATTGCCGCAGCTGGCCTAGAAATTCCTGGCCTTAAATCAAAAAGTACTTGAAGAAATAATGGCTGAAAAGATCCTCTGTTTACTGAAAACAGAAATCTATACATCGAGGAATCTTAAACTCAACTCCAAGTTGACAGGCCACCTCTGTGACACAAGAGGAGAGGAGGATAAACCACTGACAGGACCACCCCGTAAGAGTGCTAATCTCAGAAAGACTGGTAAGAAGCCAGCCCCTTACTCAGCAGAAACAGTGGGAGCCACACTGAGTGCACTTGGTACACTCAAAACAAAATGCCAGCTAAGAAAATCCGCACCAGGAAACCTGTCCTGTAAAATGAAGGCACGGATAAAGAAATTCCCTGATGCCAACTGAGGACAGCTGCTTTAGAACGGCTGGGAGCGCTGGCTGAAGCTAATGACCCCGGCAGGGGCCCAAAGACACACAGGGGCACCCGGCCCCAAGGGAAGTCCGTGTACAGGATACTTTAGACACACTTCTCTCGGGTAAATGAGGCAACCTGGTCATGACATGCAAGCAATAACAAAAGGGTGGATATGAGGGAGCCTTGCTGGCCCAGGCGAGTGGCTCCTGTGGAAAATGGGAAAGTCACGATTGCAGGACTGGACTGTCAATAGATGGCAAACAAAATATTACAAAACGTGGGTAGCGACCCAGGCGAGTGAGGCCGCTCTGTATCTCACTGGCACGGAGGCAGCTCAGCTCTGCAAACCCTCACACGAGGAAGGAAGAAGCATAGCGAAAAACTGCTAAATTCAAACCTAACGCCTGAGCAAGCAAAGGGGGGGACAGCAGCTGACATGGCACACAGCTGCCTATCAGCGACACTACAGGCAGCCGCCTACACAGTTCAGCCTATGTCAGCGGGATTCTGGCCACCTGGAGACGGAGGGCACACTTCAGGCTAAAGGACACGGTCCCCGCCTTGCAAGCCCTGCCAGGTCAGAGTCCCTCTGCAGGGGGGATGAGGCCCAGCCACCCTCCTCACTGTCACACTGCTGGTCCTCTGCCCCGAAAACATGACGCGGGGGTCTGGCTGAGGCCGGCTGCCCCGTGCGGGCCCGGGTCTGAGCAGCGTGGCCGGGACAGGACGCCAGAGCAGGGAGCCGCACTGTCAGGGGCCCCACTCGGTCCCAGGGCCAGCCCTAAGTCCTGCAGCCCCGAGCCCTGAGGAGGCCGTGCAGGAGCCGCACTCCCGGGGCAGGGCTGGAGGGGATCCGAGGCGGCTGGACCGAGCAGCCGCCGCCGGGCGAGCCAAGAGAGGCGCCCGCCCCTCCTCGGCTCCCCAAACAGCGGCGAGCGTCCTGCCCGCCCGGCCGCTCACCTTCCGGCTCCTCATGAGTGAGCGCCCCGGACCCAACGCTCCTTCGCCGTCTCAATCGTGCGCCCGCCAACGCCGCCGCCGCCGCCGTCACTGCCGCGTCTGACGTCACCGCCGTATCCGGATCACGTGCAGTGGTCCTTCCTGCAACCAGGTTGAACTTATAGTTAGTTGGGTCTCACACTGGCAGGTGATAATGGTTGGAAGTTAAGAACTTTCTCTGGGTGTTCTGCTCCTATTAAGCTTATCATGGTTGGCTGAGTCCTACAGTGAGGCCTCAGACAGGTGGCCCAGGCCTAGCTCGGCCAGCTGCGGGTCCTGGCTTCATTGTGGGCCTCAGCAAGAGCGTAGCGGTTAGATGCATTTGCAGGAAACAGTTTTTGAGTTTGACCCCAAGACCCACTAGGTATCCTGTGACCACATTGACGCTCCCTCACGAGACTGACTCATTATCTCTCAAAATAAATAATGTAAAAAATAATAAAGATCTTGAAATACAAATGAAATCTTTGGTCTCAGCCTCTGGTCTTGCTGGGTGGCTGGGACTGAGTGTAATGATTTAAGTAAAACGCTGCAGGTTCCCGAGTGGTGACAGTGGGCAACGGGCCAGGAGACCATGCTGCAGGTCCCTGAACAGCGGCAGGCAGCAGGACCAGAGACCACGGTGGACCATGAAGGCAGCCAGTTCCAGGTAGGGAGCTGCATGCTGGGTGAGAGACTGAGACGGATAGGCAGCCATGCAGAGTGAGGTTAGAGTTATGGAGGGGAAAGGGGGAAGGGGAGAAGGGAGAAGAGCAGAGAGAAATGGGGGGGGGGGGGATTGGGGCATAGTTTTCTCCAAACTGCTTCCTACTGTTTATTGGCCGAAGTGTTTTTAGGGTTCATGAAGACCTTTTGGGACTTGTTCCATCAAATCACTTAGCCTGGAAGGAATCCACAGGTTCTTCTATGGAAACAAAAGCAGAACCTCTTTTCCAAAGTAACATATCCTTAGACTCAAATTTTGAAGTCAAGATAACTTTAAAATATATGTTAGTTTAGGTTAGCAGCCCCCAGAAACAAATGTCTCTCTGCAGTCAAAAAATTCAAAGAAAACACAATAATATACATAGTCCAGATTCTCTATGTATTTTTCATCTTTGTGTGGCTTATTTTTCTTTACTCCTTTAATCTATGATTGTCTGTACTCTTTTATATTACTTTAACTGTCTCTTTAAAGACTTTACTTCTTTTTATAACTGTCTATACTCTTTTTTTTCTCTCCCAAGCCTTCGTACATTTTTAAACACGTTGTGTCTTGTTTAGAGGTTTTTAATGTCTGAATCTGTCCTATTGTGCATCTGTAATCCTTTTCTGACAAGAAGCATTTAAAAATAGTAAGCAATGTGGTTGTCACAGCCTTGGATGCCAGCTCCACCTCTCTTGGCCTTTCAATATGACAGAGGTACATTTACTACCAGTTCTGGGACTGTTGGGTGGGAGCCATGCTTACCACCTCAACTCTTGGAAGCACCATGTGGCACATAAATCTTTTCTGTCTTAGTTAAAGCTAAATCTGCTATGCGGCATGCTGCTTGGCCTAGAAATGTCTCCATGTATGGTGGCAGTTGTTCCCATGTAGAAGGATCAGCTTACACATCACCTTCCTGTACTCTAACTTAGTTTCCTCTCCCATGTCTATAGCTAAGATACTCAGGAGGTCTCCCATGGTCAAATCTTTTCTCTATTAACCTGGAAGGAATCATCAGACTTTTGATTCCCGTGGAAATCAAAAGCATAACTCCTCCTTAAAATAAAACATTTTGGACTTCCATTTTAAAGTGAAGGTATTCCTAATGTATATAGGTTGGTTTAATTCAGCAGTCCCTTCCATAATCCTATGTGTCTCAGCAGCTGTTGTTTGTCCATTAGCATTCAAAAACTTCAAAATTAACAAAGCACCATTTAAGGTCCAAACTCCTTGTGTTACAATATTTTCCATCTTTACGTGGCTTATTCTTTTTTAAATTTCTTTACTTCTATATTTAAAGACTTTGCTATTTTTAAACTTCTTAAATGATTGTCTATATCCTTTTTCTTTTTTTCTTAAGCCTATGCACATTGTTAAAGACATTGTATCCTGTTTAGAGTTTTTTTTTCTGTGTGAATATATACCATCATGATTGGTTTAATACAGAAGCTGACTGGCCTATATCTAGACAGGATAAGGTAGGTGGAAGAACCAAACTAAGAGGACATTAGGAAGTAGGTGGCAGTCAAAGGGTCATGAGGAGAGAAGCAAAATGAATTTGCCATGCTGAAAGAAGGTACTGCCCACCTGGCAGAGGGTAGACAAAAAAATATGGATTATGCCAGCCTGCAGGCTGTGCCCAACCCTACCTACCACACACTAAACTCTGTCTCTCCAAGACCCACTCTGCTTCCCAACCCCATGCACCTGAAATCTTCCCCCTGGCCAACCCTCCCTCTCAACCCCAGCAGACTACATAGGCACAGGTGCTGACCACAGTAGTTGGAAGAACAGGCACAGGCCCAAGCCACACCAGTTGGAAGAAAAGATGAGTAAACGCCACTGTAAGAATACATTCAACAACCAAAAGCCATGTGGCACCACCAGAACCCAGTGATCCTACAACAGTAAGACCTGAACATACCTATGCAACTGAAACACAAGAAAATGAATTTAATTAGTTTATGAAGATGATAGACGCTCTTAAAGAGGGGATGAAAATTTTCCTTAAAGAAATCGAGGAAAAGACAAGCAAAAATTTGGAAGAAATAACTCCCTTAAAGAAAGCAAAGAAAAAAATAAAAAGAGGTGAAGGAAACAGTTCAAGATTTCAAAACTGAAACAGAAACAAGAAAACACAAATTGAGGGAATTCTGGTAGTGGAAAATCTGGGGAAGTGAACAGGAGCTACAGATGCCAACATTACCAACAAAATACAAGAGATGGAAGAGAGAAAGAATCTCAGGCATTGAAAATACGATAGAGGAAGTAGCTTCATCAGGCAAAGAAAATGTTAAATTCAATAAATTTCTAACACAAAACACCCAGAAAATCTGGGACACCATGAAAGGACCAATGCTAAGAATAATAGGGATAGTAGAAGGATTCCAGCTCAAAGGCATAGAACACATATTCAATAAAATTATAGGAGAAAACATTTCCAAAGTGAAGAAGGACATGTTCATAAAGGTACAAGAAGCTTGCAGAACATCAAATAGGCTGGACAAAAAAAATCCCCTTGTCACATAATAATGATAACACTAAACACACAGAATAAAGAATTTTAAGAGCTGCAAAGGAAAAAGGCATGTAATGTATAAAGGCATACCTATCAGAATTACACCTGACTTCTCAATGGAGACTCTAAAAGCCAGAAGATTCTGGACAGACATTTTACAGACACTAAGGGACCATGGATGCCATCCCAGACTATTATACCCAACAAAATTTTCAATCACCGTAAATAGAGAAAACAAGCTATTTCATGACAAAACCAGATTTAAACAACATCTATCCATAAATCTAGTGCTACAGAAATTACTAGAAGGAAAATTCCAACCCAAGAAAGGCAGTTACATCTACAAAAACACAGACAAATGATAATTTCACAGCACCAAAACTCAAAGAAGGGAAATCCAAACACTATCACCACCACCACCCCAAACCAAAAAATTAGCAGGAATCCACAATCACTGGTCAATAACAACTTAATATCAAGGAATTCAATTCACCAATAAAAAACACAGGCTAACAGAATGGATATGAAAACAGGATCCATCCTTCTGCTGCATACAAGAAACACACCTCAACTTCAAAGACAGAAATTACCTTGGAGTAGAGATTTGGGAAAAGATTTTCCCATCAAATGAACTTAAGAAGCAAGCTGGTGTAGCTAGTCCAATATCTAACAAAATAGACTTCAAACTAAAATTTATCAAAAGAGATAGAGAAGGACATTTAATATTCATCAAGGGAAAAATCCATCAAAATGAAGTCTCAGTTCTGAACATCTATGCCCCCAATACAAGGGCACCCACATTTGTAAAAGAAACATTACTAAAGCTTAAATTACACATCAAACCCCACACATTAATGGTGGGATGACGTGGGATGTCCTTCTGTATGCTGCAGATATGTATTGCTTTTACTGATTGATGAATAAAGCTGCTTTGGCCAATGACAGGGCAGAATATAGCTATATAGGAAAGTCAAACTAAATACAGGGAGAAAGAAGATGGGGTCAAGGGAGACACCAGTAGCCACCAGAGGAGTAAGATGCCTGAGCAATACCTGTAAGCCATGGGGTCGAGAGAAATGCCAGCAATTGCTGAGGAGTAAAATGCCATTACTTAACTCCTCATTACTGTAGCCATGGACCATGTGGTGATACATAGATTAATAGATATAGGTTAATTTAAATGTAAGAGCTAGTTAGTAATAAGCCTGAACCATTGGACAAAATTAATATTAAGTCTCTAAGTGATTCTTTTATAAGTGGCTGTGGGACTGAGTAGGATGCAAAAAAGCTTCCAATTGCAGTGGGAGACGTCAACACCCACTCTCACCAGTGGACAGAGAAACAAGGGAACCAACAGATGTTATGTTTCAAATGAACTAACAGACATCTACAGGAAATTTTACCCAAACACCTTCTTAGCACCTCATGAACCTTCTCTAAAATTGACCACATACTTGGTCATAAAGCAACTCTCAACAGAAGCAAAAGATTGGAATAACCCCTTGTGTCTTATGGGACCATGAGGGGTTAGAGTTCAACAACAACACAAACTACAGAAAGTCTACAAACTCAAGGAAGCTGAACAACTCTCAGCTGAATCACCACTGGGTCAGGGAAGAAATAAAGAAATTAAAGACTTCCTACAATTCAATGAAAATGAATCCACAACATACCCAAACCCGTGGGACACAGTGAAAGCAGTGCTAAGAGGAAAGTTCATATCACTAAGTGCCTACATAAAGGATTTGGAGAAATCTCACATGAGCGACTTAACAGCACACTTGAAAGTTCTAGAACAAAAAGAAGCAGACTCACCAAGGAGGAGTAGATGCAGGAAATTATCAAACT